AAGGATATTATTGCAAAGGCTTTTTTATCCCTTCCACATGTAACAAGCCACAGCACCTTGAGTTCTATAAATGCAGAGCAGGTCCCCAACAACAGCCCCAACACTGTCATTTAAAAGAGCTCTCTACAGTCACAGAATGACAGAATGATTTCCCTTGGAATGGACATTAAAGGTCATTTTGCTCCAACTCCCTTGCCACAGGCAGGGACATCTTCCACTAGACCAGGCTGCTCTGAGCTCCATTCCTGAATGGGGCATCCACAGCTTCGCTGGCCAACCCATTCCTGTGCCTCACCACCCTCACACTATCTAGTTATTTTATGATATCTAATCTAAATCTAACCTCTTCCACTTGAAAGCCATTCCTCTTCCTCCTGTCACTGCACGCTCTTGTAAACAGACCTGCACTCCTGGACTACACTGCTTTTACTGTTGGTGTTTCTCCACTAAATCCTCTAAACTCTTTAATAAACAGCTCGTAAATAAAATGCTGGAAATGTGCCTTGGATTTAATTACTGCAAATATTCATAAATTTGCAATAACTTTTCAACAGCTGATTCCTCTTTCCAGGTGCAGTCCCAGGCAGCTGGAGAGAAACTTGAACAAAAAAATAAATGTTCCCAAACTAACAGTCCTAAAAGTCTAACCTGTGGTCAGCACTGACATGCTCCACATGGTTCACTGCCCAAAGGGTGTTTGCTACAGTGGAAAAGAAGCTACAAGGTAGAATTGGAGCTACTGGCTAATTACTTGACAGGAGAGCAGGGAAAGATTGGTGAGATCAAAGGTACTTCTACATCAGCCGTGGTGCAGGGCTGGGCCACACTGCTCCTGCAGTCTTTATTCTGGGAGATGAAAGGCACCCTACCCCACTCTAAATACAGCTCTTTTAGTTAGGGTTTGCCATAGGAGAAGGCTTTAGCCAAATCTTTTATCATTAGGCTCCATTAGAAGAAAAGCTTCTGCCAAGCTAACCCAAATGCCTGAGAGATTTTCTGGGGAGTGGGAGCAATCCCTTTATTGTTCTGTTGTAGAGAAGGGGCCCTGTGGGGTTTTGATTAATCCCATCCTTGTTGGAAAGCAAAACAGTAATTTTAACAGTGGTTAAAAAGCTTGGTAGGTTTGGAAGGGGACAACATCCAGCCCATGCAATCCCACCTCCCACACAAACCTCCCTCCACACTCAAACCCAGCCACTGCCAGACTCCTGTCAGCTGCAGAAGTGTGGCTTTTGTGGTATGATCTCAGCTCACTGCAATGCATGTGGATTCCCATCAACATTTAGCCTTCAAAAAAAATTGGTTAAATCCATCATAAATATTAAACACCATACTATAGTGGCAAGTTTCCCTGAAAACAAACTTCAAAAAATAATCTAAAATAAAAAAGATGTCAAGGCCCTTGGGAGAACTGACTCTGGCATGTCATCAGATGTTGTCTTATAAGGCTAAATTAAGCATCTGACCAGAGTTTAATTTCTGTAAAAACTCATGCTAATTTAAATTGCTTTAGATTTAATTAAAAATGCCTTTCTATAGAGATAATAATGTAACTCTGTTAATTAGTATCAAGTGGCATCTAGAGGGCATATTTAAAAACTAATCTGGAGAATAAATAGAGCTAATTAACAGTCAGAATAATGCTTTATGGTTGTCTTTTATTTATAAATGCTATAACGTTCAATAAGCTATTAAATGAAATTGTAATTAATATATATCAAAGTTATTTTTAATACTCTTTTAACTAAAGAGTGTTTCTTACACCCCATTTTTCAGATGGTCTGGACACGTTTCATTTCTGGAGGGAGGGAGTAAGGATGAGGCAGCAAATAGAAATTCAATTAGGAGCAGCTCATTTATCTCCCCTACAAGGGTCTGTGCTCAGGAGCCCACGGGGTTGTCCAGCCAGGCGTGAGCTCTGTGTCCAAGGGGTTTGGGCAGAGCTCTGCTGGCCAGGGCAAGGGCTGGCAGGGAAGGGCTGCACATCACCCCACACCCCTCCAGGGCACCATGGGCAGGGAAGGGCCTTGCAAATACAGAGCTGAGGTTCTGAGGAAGGAGAGCAGCTCTGAGGTTTGCTATGGGATCTTTCAAAAGACCATGGGGTGCTCCAATTCCATG